AAAGTGGAACTGCGGGGCAGTAATAACCCCTTCGTCTTCCCTGGGCACGTCCACGACCTTCTCCGCGGCGGAGGGGTGCTGTGTGCCCACACGGGGCAGCGGGGTTACGAACCCGCGACCCACTTACCTTCTGCGCCCCAGAATTTAGCAGCGGCGGCAGCAGCAAGTTTTGCAACATTTGGTAAACTCAGGAGTTGGCCTGGAGGGAAGGTGGAGAGAAGCCAGCACCTGCTGTATACTCCGTCCTCCCAGAGACCCTGAGAGGGAGCACAGTGTAGCAGCGACGCCTGGCTCACTGGACCTGTGTCCAAGGCTGCCTGGTGAGTAGGCTCACCGGATTCGAATCAAGAGTTTGTCCCAGGAGAAATGCTCCTCAGGGCCTTGTGCTCACTGGTGGCATGCACACACGCACATGTGACAGTCACATTTGTAGTCTGAACACACGGAGATGGAATGGCATGCTCAACCGCTGGGACACTCACACACACCTCAATTCACACTTCACTCGAAACCTTGGGGATTGCTCCCGCGTGTGTCTGCAAAAGGCTGACACCCCGTCTCAGACAGGGCACAGTCCAGCAGCACCCATGAGAATGAGGTCTCAGATTCAAAGTGTGATTCGGGTGTGAAGTGTGAAGGCAGAGTCCTGAAGTGGTTCTTTCATTTAGTGACTAGTGAAGAGCTGACCATACACCAGGACCTTTGCCATTTACACGGGACAAGATGGGACAGGCAACAGAAGTTCTGCCATGTGCGACTTACAGTTGAGTTTAGGAGGGAAGGGAACAGAAAATAATCATTTCTGTCCGACATGAAATAGTGATATGGTAGTAAGTGCCATGCTGGGAGTGCTTTATTGGGGGTAGTACCCCTCTCTGAGGGGGTGGCCCTCAGACATAACGGTGAGTGACACCAAGCAGCAGCCATGCCAGTTATCCAGGCAGAGGAGAGCAGGGGGTAGGGGGAAGGGAGACTGGACAGGAGGCGAGACCCAGGGGAACTGCAGAGACCAGGCTTTTGTGGGACAAGGCAGGAACGACCCAGCCTGGCCTGCCCAGGACTGAGAGGTTTCTGGGGCACAGGGCCCTGCTACCACAGGGACTGCCCCAGGCAGAGCAGAGGGGCTGGCCACCCTGTACAGGGGTTTGGGGTTTTTTCTCACCTTTCTTTCTTTTTCTTTTCCTTTCCTTTCCCTCCCTTCCCTCTTCATTCTTTTGTCTCTTTCTTACTTGTTTTCTTTCCTTACTTGTTTTTCATTCTTTTCTTCCTCTCTCCTTCCTTCCCTCCCTCCCTGTCTTTTTCCTTCCTTTTCTTTAACAGCTTTATTGAGACATAATTAGAATATTAGCACAATATTTACCCACCAAGAGTGTACAATTCAATAGCTTTTAGCATATTCAGAGTTGTGTGACCATCATCAGTCCATTCCAGACCATTCCCATTGTCTCCAAGTTGTTTGAATTTTCTCCAAAGGACAATGAAGACAAAGGGAGAGTTCTGAGCAGGGAAAGGAGGGGATCCCTGCAGCTCCCAGGGTGGGGGAGGATAAACTGCGGGTGCTAAGGGGGGGCTGGGAGACCAGGAGGAAGCTGAGGTCACCTCTAGCCCCACAGCCTGTCTCCTGCCACCCCACACATACTCGGTGAACATGCTTTTCAGCTGCTATGGGCTGAATGGGTTCCTGTCTACCCCCTGCCCAAATAAAATGAGAACCCTGACCCCCAGGACCTCAGAATGTGACCTTATTTGGAAATTGGGTCAGAGTCGTTGCAGATGAGGTTAGGGGAGGCCATAGCGCAGGAAGCTGGGTCCCCAATGCAATATGATTGGTGTCCATGTCTTATGACAGCCATGTGGAGCCATGTGAAGGTGATGACACATGAGGAATGCCATGTGGTGACAGAAGCTGAGACTGAAGTGCTGTAGCTACAAGCCAAGGCACATCAAGGTCTGCCAGCAATCCATCAGGCCCAGGGAGGGGAGAGGGAACACCCTGCACATCTCAGGAGCACGGCCCTGCTGGCATGCTTTCAGACGTCTGGCCTCCAAAACTGCATGACAATAAATGTCTGTTCTCAGATGCCCTGTTTGTGACACATTAAGGCAGCCCTAGGAAACTAACACATCTGTGGTAGAGCAGGACATCCCGTTGGCATGAAGGACTTGGGACCACGGAGAGGGAAGGGCTGCCTGGGAAGGGGGACCAAGCTTTACATTCTGGCAGGGGTGGTGACAGTGTGGCCCATTTATTCCAGGAAGAAACTTTAACTAGTTTCCAAAAAGGCATCTTCAGGAGGGGATGGGGATAGGGCGTGGGTGGGACCCTTCAGTGACATCCACTCCCAGAACACGGAGAGAAGCCATAGTTGCTGGGGTGCAGGGGTGGGGGGAGCAGCAGGGCTTCCCTACTGCCTCCCTTCCCAGGAGTGTAGCCTCCAGTGCCCAGGCAGGGCTGGGGTGCAACTCAGAGACAGTGGTGTTGGGGAGGTAGGAGATGCTGGGCCTTGCTTGGGGGCCTGTGGGAGGCAACCAGACCCAGGGACAGTGAGGAGGGGTAGACCTCGCCAAGAGACCGAGATGGAGCCAGGCTGCTGGTGGTGCCTCAGGGGTCTTCAGGTCTAACTGCCCTCCAGTCGGCCGAGCACTGCTTCCTGTGTCTGGGCTGCAGTCCCCTCTGAGCTGCCTGGTTGGCCTGTCTTTTCCCAGTGGGGCCCAGACAGCCCCCATTCCACGTGGGGACTCTGCTCTGGCTTGTCACTGCCCCACCTGAGAGTCCTGGGGGCGTGGTGAGTCCTGCTGGGTCAGCAAGGTCCCAACCCAGGCCACCCCGCTTCCTGCCCCCACAGCAGCCCCGGCATTTTGCAGCAAAAACGATTATCTGGATCATCTTTATGGGGCTTAAGCTTAGGTGGGAGCAGATGCGGTATGAGCAGGGGATTTGGGGCTGTGTATCCACTGTCCCACGTCTGTCTTTTAAAAAGCCTTCTCTGGCACAGGCCTGGGCCAGAGGCGAGCAGAGAAGTGGGTCGGGCTCAGGAAGCAGGAGCAAAGATGGACCAGGAAGAGAGGGTGGATGGGGGCTCAACTCCCTGCGTCAAGGTAAGCAGATCCCACCCCCACATGCCCCCAACTCCTCAAGAGCAATGAATGACAAGACTAACTAGTTTGTAGGGCACCTCATTAGCGATTGGGTCTCCTGGGACCCCTGACCCAGTTTGCAGCCTAAGGAAGTGCTGGTGGGCATGAGGGTCCGAGTGCCCAGCCCAGCCCCAGGGCAGAGGTCAGTGCTCTCAGTGATGGTCCTGGTGAGCGGGGTGGGGTGGGGGTGTGTGTGTGCTGGGATCTGGGGGCAGCCCCTGGGATGTCTCCCTGGCTGGTGCCCTGTAGTCAGGCCCCAATTTAGGACAACAGGCTGCCAGCAGCCTCTCCCTTGAGGCAACACCACGTGCAGCGGCACCACTGGCTGGGGCCTGGGGGCTCCGGTTGGTAAGGAGACTTGTGTCTCATTCGCAGCAGCTCTGCAGAGCAGCACATCGGCAGGGACCATGGTGAGAGCCAAGGAGGAGGGGCGGAAAGACTCCAGGGTCAGGGTGGGAGCTGGTGAGGGGGCCCCCAACGGAGGGGCCGGCTGGACCAGGTGTGTCTCTCTCCCAGGCAGGCTCCCCAGACCAGGAGGGCTTCTTCAACCTGCTGAGCCACGTGCAGGGCGACCGAATGGAGGAGCAGCGCTGCCCGCTGCAGGCAGGTCCTGGCACCCCCTCCAAGAGTGGTGAGTGGACAGTGGAGTGTGTAGGGTGGGCGTGTTGTCCGGGAATATAAATGGGGCAGGGTGTAGGGGTACAGGACAAGTGACCATCTGAGGGGCCCGGTAGGTAAGAGTCTGAGAGTGAGAGACCACTGGCGACACAGATGCTAGTGGGTCTAGGGGCAAAGGACGGAGGGGAGAGATGAGCCAGCTTCCTGGAGAATGTCGGCAGGGGAAGAGGTGGGCTGGGGGCTCCAGCTGTGCAGTGTTCCCTGGAATCTGCATATATGTCTATCCCCACCTGCTTCTGTGCCACGCAGAGAGTGGTCCCGTGCCAGAGATGGACAGTCTTATGGACATGCTGGCCAGCACCCAGGGTCACCGCATGGATGACCAACGTGTGACAGTCAGCAACCTGCCTGGCTTCCAGCCTGTGGGCCCCAAGGTAGGTGATGCTGTGCTGGAGCTGAGGGAGACCAGCCATGCTGAGCCCCCGGTCCTGCCTCCCACCCCACCTCTGTCCCTCATGTGCCTCCTGGGGATGGATGAGTGCCTGGTAGGAGTGCTTGCCCTATGTCCCTCCCAGTCACAAGGCCCCATCCAATCCAATACCCAACTCAGACAGGAGAATGAAGGCCCAGACAAGGCTGAGAAGGCCCCCCAGGTCATGCAGAGGGCACATTAATGTCAGAGCCATGGCTGGAAGTCCTGGCTCCCACCCCCAGGACCCAGGATTTAAGGAAGAGTTGAGAGAATGAACACCCTCTTGGGAAGACAAATCTAGGGAGGTGGGCACACGAGCTCATATGCTCACATGTCTGTGTCACATGTGATCAAACACAGCTTGGGTTCTGATCAAGACCCCAGTGGGACCCCCAAGACCCCCACCTCACATTCAAATACCACCATAAGTGTTGAGAACTCAAGTACGTAGAAGTTGGGGGGTGGGGCGGGGGCAGATGGTGGGAGGTGGGACAACAGTTCCCACCTGCACCCTCCTTCCAACGCTTGTGTCACCACGGGCCAGTACTGCCCTTGGTTCCTCCCTCTGGCTGACCCCTCTTCATCCACAGGACGGAGTACAGAAACGAGCTGGGACCCTCAGCCCCCAGCCCCTCCTCACCCCTCAGGACCCATCTGCTCTCAGCTTCCGCCGGAACAGTAGCCCCCAGCCCCAGACACAAGCCCCCTGAAGGCTGGGGGCCCTCTTGTGCCCTACTTGTGCCCCCCGAAAGCAGACAATAAAACACTTCCATGGGGAACAAAGAACTGAGTGTATGTTGTTTCACGGGTGGCACTCAGGAACTCGAGGGTTTCGAGCTCTCCTGAGCGGCTCGAAGCAGCTTCTCCTCCCGCTGCTTCCGTAGCCTCTCTTTGAACTCCTCTAGCTGTTGGCGCTGGTGATGGGGAAGGAGTGGGACACACCTCAGAGCCTGGACCCCTCCCTCTCCCCACCGCCTTGCCTCCTACTTCCCCAGGCCACAGATTCAGAGTTTAGTGTCTACACTGGGAGCCCTGTGCCAACTGCAAGCAGGGTTCAGGTGGGATCAGTTTGATCATTTGGGGGAGGACCACGAGGAAACCACGTGTGCCTTCACCCTCAGTTCCCTGCTCATGACTGAGGGTAGCACTTCCATTCAAATCCATCATGGTCACAGGGACCCGGGCCCCTTGGTCCCTCTGATGGGAGACAGAGGAGGTTACTTACCTGGTCCCCCTCAGGTGGCCACAGCTCCCTCTGTAGGGATAAAGTCACAGATGAGCCAGGAGTCACCTAGGCAGGTCAGCTCATGGAAGGCAGGCATCACTGCCCCGTGCTCTCTCCCCCCGCCCTCTGCAGTGAACCCATGAAAACTCCCCGTGCCCACCTTTCGCTGTATGACGGCGTCCTCAAACCACTCAGCCTGATTAGCAATCCAGAACATAGCCACAGGGAAGGTGAGGTAGAGAGTCATCTAGGAGGCGGGAGAGGTCAAGGGGAGGCGGCTCAGAGCCTGGAGCAGAGGGTGCTACTGCACAGCCCCGGAGCGCCTCCACAGGGCCCCCCAAGAAGCCCAGGATTAAGGGAGTCCGTCCCCCATAATCCAAAAGACCTTGTTTCTGGAGCTCCCTCCGCGTCTGGGGGACTCTCTCTCAAACGACACACACGCATGCGCACACACCCTGGCCCAGGAGGACCAGAGCTCCCACACAATCACAGGCATCTGAGATCTCACTGCCGCCGCCCCAAAGTCAGATCCAGGGGGCACTCCAAATCCCTTTCTTCGGAGTCTACCCGTGACACACCCCCACCCCAGAGTCTGGAGCCTTCCTTCTTGGAGCCTCTCCTCAAACCACCCATCTCAGAGGCCCTTCCTCACACCAGCCCTACGAGGGCCCCCCTCCACCGGCGCCCCCTCCTCGGAGCGTCCAACCCTAAAAAGCCTTCTTAAATCACAGGACCTTTCTCTCTATTCAGAGCCTCCTCCTCAGGGAACATGCCCCTGCCCACCAGCTCGGGTGTCCACTGACCCGAAACACCTCCAACTTCACCCCCATCTCGCTTCTCCCAGGCTGCACAGCCGCTTCTGTCCAAAAGCCAACCTTACAAAATGACAGCAGCTCATTGGGAAGCCCCGGGCTCGACTACTGAAGCTCATTGGCCGAGGAGCCCTGGGTGACGTCATCTCCGGGCTCCTACTTGCGGCTTCTCATCGCTGGCCAAGGATAAGCGGGGCCTGCACGCACCTGGAGGTCAGCCAATAGGAAGTGAGTCTAACCCAGGGGGGCGGGCCTTTGGGAGGATCTGTCATTATAACGCGACTTTTGCCGTAGCTGGAGAACTAGGAAAATGGTGGTCATGGCGCGACTCTCGCGGCAGGAGCGGCCGGATCTGGTCTTTGTGAGTCCATTGTGGGGCGGAGGATGGCCCAGGTGGGGACACAGAGCCTGGATGCCTCAGAGGGTCGAGGTCTGATCTCTCTCCGGGGATCCAAACCCAAATTTCTGATCATAGCGTAGTAAACTCTTTGAAATACCCTGTCGGGTTTCAGGAGGGACAAACAGTAAGAAATTTTAAAGCACCTACTCAGATAACTGGAGATCCCTGTAGAGCTGGGTGTTTGTTGTTTTTTTTTCTTCCTTAAATCATATTGTCTTTTTAGTTTTTAAACCACTCCCTGACCACTCCCTGGCTCTTTTACATCCAATAGCTTGTTCTTTCTACCTAGGGGTCAGTATCTGTTTTGTTCTTACATGTATGTTATTATTTCAAATCCCATGCATAACTGAGATCATTCACTATTTATATATATTCACTTTCTCTGATTTATTCACTTAGCAAGATACCCTCCGAGTCTGTCCATATTGTGGCAAATGTCAAGATTTCATTCTCTTTTATTGCTGAATAATATTCAGCTGTATATACACATACCACATCTTAATCCAGCCACCTAGGATTGATACCTAGGTTGTTTCTATGTCGTGGCTATTGTAAATAATGCTGCAGCTAATAGACAGGTGTATATATGTGTTCAAACTTGTATTCTTCAGATAAATACCCAGATGCGGTCATAAGGCAGTTCTATTTTTAATTTTCCGAGGAACCTCCACACTGTTTTCCACTTCACAGTCCCACTAAGGGTGTCCAGGGGTTTTCTTTCCTCCACATCCTTACCAGCACTTGCTGTTTGTTGACCTTTCGATGACAGTCATTCTGACGGGTGTGAGGTGATACCTAACTGTGGTTTTGATTTGATTTCCCCGAGGGTTAGTGATGTTGGGCATCTTTTCACGTCTTTCGGCCATCTGTATGTCCTCTTTGAAGAAATGTCTATTCAGGTTCTCTGCACGTTTTTAATTGGATTGTTCAGGTTTTTTGGTGTTAACTTGTGTGAATTCCTCACATATAGTGGATATTAAGGCATTGCTGGGTGTATCATTTGCGAATACCTTCTCCCATTCAGTAGGTTGTCTTTTTTTTTAGATTTTATTTATTGATTTTAGACAGAGGGGTAGGAAGGGAGAAAGAGGAGAGAAACATCCATGTGTGGTTGCCTGTCATGTGCACCCTACTGGGGACCTGGCCTGCAACCCAGGCATGTGCCCTGACTAGGAATTGAACCTCTGACCCTTTGGTTCACAGGCCAACGCTCCATCCACGGAACCACACCAGCCAGGGCAGTAGGTTGTCTTTTTTTAAATTTTGTTTTAAAATTTTTAAATCTTTGCCTGAAGATGTTTATTGATTTTAGAGAGAGAGGAAGGGGGAGAGAGAGAAAGAGAGACTTTGATGTTATATGAGAGAGAAACGATCAGTTGCTTCCTGTACACACCCCCCCACCGGGGACAGAGCCTGCAACCTAGGTATGTGCCCCTATTGGGGACCGAACATGCAGCCTTTGTCTTGGTGGATGAGAAGATGCTTCACCAGGGGAGACCCTGGCCAGGGCCACTAGGCTGTATTTCTGTTCTGTTGGTGGTTCTCTTGGCTGTTGCAGAAACTCTTTAGTTTGAAGTCATCCCATTTATTTTTCTTGTCACTGCTGTTGCCTGAGGAGATGTAGCCAAAAGGATACTGTTAAGACTGATGTCCGAGAGTTTGCTGCCTATGTTTTTCCCTAGGAGTCTTATGGTTTCATGTCTTCCATTGAGGGGTGATCCATTCTGAGGTTATTTTTGTACGTGGTGTGAGGAAGTGGTGCATCTGCGTGCATCCTGCGTCCTTCCCGGGGTTGACTTCCACTTTCATGATGTAGTAGTCGGAAGAAATGTTTGCTGGGACTTCAGGGTTCCTGAATTTCCTGAGACGTATTTTGCCGCCTACCATGTGATTCTTTCACTTTATTTCTTCACTCTGTCCCTCGGTGTTCAGGGCCAAAGGCTTCGTTTCTGGTTCATACGTGGGCTTCGGAGATAAAGGTCTGGCTTCCAAGTTCTGGGCACAGTCTACCAGACTCTGGCTAGTGGGACCTTTGGTGCCAAAGGCCTGGTATCTGGGCAAAGGTGTTCTGTGAGGAGCCAGGCTTGCTGACCTGGGCAGAGGGCTGGTGGTGGCCCAGAGCCCTGGGACAGCGGACTCTGCTAATCTGGGTCTGATTGTGGTGGGAGAATTCTGAGGGCCCAGTCTGGATGAAGGTCCTGTTATGTGGGCTTCTGGCGGCTGGGCTGTGAGGTGGGCACTGGGGTCAGGGTAAGGGCTGGGAGTTTGGAGTGGGGGACAGTGTGCTCAGGGTCTGAGGGCAGGCGTCCTTCTCCCCATCACCTGCCCGGCAGGATGAAGAGGATCTCCCCTACGAGGAGGAAATTATGCGGAACCAGTTCTCTGTCAAGTGCTGGCTCCGCTACATCGAGTTCAAACAAGGGGCCCCGAAGCCCAGGCTCAATCAGCTGTACGAGCGAGCCCTGAAGCTGCTGCCCTGCAGGTGGGGACTGCCTTATCTGCCCTTTGTGCACCAGCCCAGCACCACCTGTCCGGTCATAACGGACCTAGCCAGCATGTCCCAGGGGGTTGCTGTGTGTTCTGTCACTGAGTGTGCATCCTCTGAAGGGTCAGCACAGCCTCCCTGACATCCTGGTCCATGCCCCAATTGCTGATGCTTGTCACCCCTCCCTGGCCCCTTCTCCCAGTTGCCTCATAGGGCCAGGGGAAAGATTCTGGGGTCCACAGAGCTGACCCATCTGTGTCTGCCCCCTCCCCTCGGCCCCAGCTACAAGCTCTGGTACCGCTATCTGAAGGCGCGCCGGGCACAGGTGAAGCATCGCTGTGTCACCGATCCTGCCTACGAAGACGTCAACAACTGCCACGAGAGGGCCTTTGTGTTCATGCACAAGGTGGGGTGTGGGCGGCTGACGTGGGGCAGTGGGGGAAGCAGAGGAGTCGGAGTCCTGTGGCCTCTGTGCACTTGTGGTCAAGCTGACTCAGTCCCGGAGGATGGGGTTCTGGGTCCCGCCAACACTGGTTTGGCCATAGGACACATGGTGTCTCCCTGCTGTGCTGGATGCTGGCGGCGCAGACCTCACCTCTTCTTGTGCCTGCAGATGCCGCGTCTGTGGCTGGACTATTGCCAGTTCCTGATGGACCAGGGCCGCGTCACTCATACCCGCCGCACCTTCGACCGTGCCCTCCGGGCACTGCCCATCACTCAGCACTCTCGCATTTGGCCTCTGTACCTGCGCTTCCTACGCTCACACCCACTGCCTGAGACAGCCGTGCGAGGCTACCGGCGCTTCCTCAAGGTGAGCCCTGGTGGGGCTGAGGTAGGTGGGCCGCTCCCTGGGTCAGGAGTTCCCCACTGGCTCACTGGGACACTAGCCCCATGCAAGGTGTCCCCGAGCAGAAGGGGTATGGGGAAAGGCTCCTTGAGACAGGCAGACTTTTGGTTGCAGTTTGTTTGTTTATTCTTTAAATGGTTTGGGGCACTGTGACCGAGACAGTCCCTGCCTACACGAGGGTAGACAAGGGCACGTGAGCTGACCAGGTCGTAAACCAGAACATAACTGCCGCTGTGGGGGAAGCACAGCCCTGGGAATGTATACCAGGCAGGGCAGAGAGTCAAGGTGTAAACAGGGTTGTCCCATGTTTTTCTCAGACTTGTCCTTTGGACATCCATTGTGAAGCCCTCAGTGCGGTGCTGTGTGGGGAGGGGTCTTGTGATGAAGTCACGGCCTGCCCCATGCGGGTGGCCACTGGTGTCTAAGCAGGCCAGCCAGGGCTGAGGCTGGACCACTGGGGCCAAGGATGCTCACACAGCTGCGACTAGACCGGTGGGGTCTAGGCTGGACAGGTGGGGTTGAGGCTGCCTCTGGGCCAGGACGGTGGCAGTAGGCTGACAGATGGCCGAGAACCACTGAGGTGGGTTTGGGCACAGTGGTGTGGCCCTGCGGCCCCACTGACTGTGGCATGGGGGCCGGTGCCCAGCTGAGCCCTGAGAGTGCAGAGGAGTACATCGAGTACCTCAAGTCCAGCGACCGGCTGGATGAGGCCGCACAGCGTCTGGCCACCGTGGTGAATGACGAGCGCTTCGTGTCCAAGGCCGGCAAGTCCAACTACCAGGTGGGCCTCTGGGGAGACGGGGGCCATGGGAGGGCCCACCCTCTTGTGACCCAAGGCTGAGATATTTTACCGGGCCTGCAGCTGTGGCACGAGCTCTGTGACCTCATCTCCCAGAACCCGGACAAGGTGCAGTCGCTGAACGTGGACGCCATCATCCGGGGGGGCCTCACCCGCTTCACTGACCAGCTGGGCAAGCTCTGGTGCTCACTGGCCGACTACTACATCCGCAGTGGCCACTTCGAGAAGGTGTGCGGGCACACTGGGTATGGGGTAGGGCCTCCCACCTGGGCATGGTGCCCAGGACTCGTGGGCACATTTGGGAGCAGGAAACACTAGCAGACGTGCCATTGTGTACACACGCATGGCTCACACATGCGTTCACCTTGCTGAGGGCCCACCAAGTGCCCACCTGGGGTCAGCCAGACCTCGGTTCTCCATGGCTGTGAGGCCCCGGACCCTCTAAGTCTGGGTGTCTTCATGTGAAAAATTGAAAGTGACAGTCCTGCCTTCACTTGTGGAGGGTCAGGTGCCAAGTGAGTACCTGACTCAAGGATCACTCCCAAGGTGTTTGTGTTGTTAACCTGA